AAAATTCTTTGCTGAGGACAGACCAGAAACATAGGAAATCAGTAATATACACAGGATGTTAGAAGGTGGCATGTGTTATTGATTTTTTTTTTTAAGTTTTAGCATGGAGTGGTGGTGCACCCCTATAATCCTAGTGCTTGGGAGACTGAGGCAGGAGGCTGGAGAGTGTGAAGACTGCCTGGGCTCCATAGCAAGACCCAGCCTCAAAATAAAAAGTTTTTTTAAAGCAAAATAATAAGAGGGATTAGAAGGGCATCTGAAGAGTTTCAGCTTACTGCAACTTCAAATAAGGTGCCTTTTGGCTGGGCGTGGCAGACTGGAATGAGTGAGTCAGGAAGACCCTGCAGAGCCACCAGTCAGTGCAAATGCCCTACTGCCTCAGTGTATCTGGTGTGTCCAGGAGCAGTGGACACTGGCATGATGGGAGCACAGGGAAAGGGAGAGTGGCAGGGGACAAGCTAAGAGAAGTGGTAGGGTGGATTGGATGGAGCTCTCCTGGCCTAGGCATTGTTGCCATTGGGTTGTACAAGTCTTTGTCATAAGGGACTGTCTTACGTATCATAAGAACCCACCCAGCACCACAGACCCCACCCATTCTATGCCAGCAGCACCTCCCAGAAGTGAAATCACTTGCCCAAGGCCACTTGGACACATACAAATCTCATATCACATTAACTCAAAGGCAGGCAGCCACCCTAACTGCAGAGTCTTCACAAAGTTCTGTGTGCACAGCCAGCCTGAACCGAAGTCTGTTCCTGCCACCAGAGAACAGCACTGTGCCTGGTCCCACCACCAGCTCAATAGTGCCAGCCTCCTGTCCCTCCCCACTCAGCAAACTGGCACATCCTCCATTTCATTTCTGCTCCAGGCAGGACCCCAGGACCATAAGGAGATGGGTAAGCAGCCAGGACCACCCCTGAGGATCCAGACTGACTGTGCTTGAACTCGACCCTGCTGCTCCCCAGCTACGTGAGGTGCTGCAAACAGGGGTGCTAAGTTGGTCTCCTCCACCTGGCTGTGTGAAGCTTATAGTGGAAAACGTGTGAATGCAGGCACAGTGCAGGATGGAGTATGCTGGTTTCTTTCTTAGCACCTTGACTCAGTTTCCTTGTGCTGCCAAAACGAATCACCCTGATCTGGGTGATTTAAAAGAGCAGGTTGTATTTTTTCAGGCTTGTGAAGGACAGAGAGGAGGATCCTTGCTCTTCTCTTCCAGTTTCTGACTGCCCTTGGGTTCCTTGGCTTGTGGCAGCCTCACTCCAGTCTCTGCCTCTTCATGCAAGTTCTTCCCTTTATTGTGTCCCTCTTTGTGTCCCCCCCTTAAAAGCATGCCACTCATTGAATTTAGGGCCCACACCTCCCCCACCAAGGAGGACATGGGCAGGTCGTCCTTTCACACAGTCTGTGCCTGTGTTTCCCCTCCTGCAAACCAGACCCTCTTGGTCCCTGGTCCCATTTTAGGGCATCCAAAGTCCTGACTTGGAACAAGGAGAAAGAGCATCTTTTCCTAGCATTTCCTATTCTGAATTAGCCCGGAGGGATCTCTAGTGACTCCGAGGGCTTGGTGGGAACCACGTGGAAAAAGCAAGTTGGGAGGCGCGTGCGCATTTTAGCACTTTTCTTGCGCGCAAATCAACCACCTGCCCAACCAAGGCCACGGTCTAGGTTAAAGCTGAGGCCACAGCGCCCCCTGACGGTTGGCACGAGGGCGCGCGGCGTCTCCCCTGTGCTCAAGCAGCCGAGCGCGGTGGAGGTGGCTGTAAATGAATTTAGCATCAGCACAGTTATTTAAATTGTTTTAATTAATCACAGATTGAGCAGTAAATGAACCACTAAGTGGAGAGAGAGAGCGGGAGCGAGCGAGGGAGAGGTTAGGGGAGGAAGGCAGAGCCTAGGTGATGGCTCCAAGCACAGACAGCCTCCGCGGGGCAGAGAGAGGAGGGGGCAGCAGGCGGGTGGCGGAGCTTCTCCTGACCCCGGGCCCTGGCGCCGCTCCTGGAGGCAGAGTGGATCTGGGGGCGCCGTGGGGCTGGGGGATACCTTCTTGCAGACGAAAAGGCTGGAGCACGGGCTAAAGGGAAAACAGCAGACGGGAAGATACACTTAGAACGAAATTAACACGAGCCTGCCCTGTGCCCGCACGCTTGTGCCTGTTAAAGTATCTGAAAACACAGTGTGAAACATCAGGCATCCTCCCGCCAGTGCCCAGAGCAGGCCGGGCACCTTAGCGTGTGCAGCCCTCCTGCACCGGCCTCCCCTCCCCTGTGATTAAAGGAAACAGTGACGTCCAGGGAATCCCCAGGCCCGGTGTTCTTTTCTCGTGAGTGAGACATTTCCATGACTCTCTGGGCCTGACTTTGTCATCTGTAAAACAGGTTTATCACTTTACATTGAATTGTCATACACCATCCAGCAGACTCCAGCCCGGAGGCCGATTTTTCGCACAGCTCACCGGCTAAGAACAGTTTCCCACGTTCCTAAACTGTTGAAAAAATCGAAAGGAAAATAATGTGTCATGGCACGTGAAAATTATGAAATTCAAATCCCGTAAATAACATGTTATTGGAATGCGGCCACATTCGTTTAAGCATTGTGTCTGGGTGCTGTCGAGACCCAGGGCAGAATCAGTAGCTGCAAGAGAGACCAAGTGGCCAGGGAAGCCTGGAATTTTTATTGTCTGACCTTTGATGTAGAAAGTTCGCTCACCCCGTTTCACATGTCATGTGTAAGGTGCATGATCTTTCAATGCCATAAGAAGAAAGAACACTGACAAGCTACACCAGACCACAAGTCTTTCATATTGCACAGAGTATTTTATTTTTATTTATTAAGAGTTATTTCAAGCTACATAAAAATAGACTTGTATCGCACATCTCGCTTGTAAATATATAAAAAGCAAAATGGATGCAAAATGGGTTAAGATACTCTTTAAGTGTCTTCTTACCTGTAATCCAACCTTTCTGGTTGGCTTATTGACTCAAAATCTCTTTTGTCCTTGTTTTATGCACAAGATTGTCCTGGGGCCCCTGTGTGAGGCAGCAGTTCCTGAAAGAACAGGCCGCTATGGTCTCAGGATTGTCTTCACAGGGGCCACTTGCTGTCTGGAAATGCTGATTCCAGTGTTCAGGAGGGGACAAGTACATACATCATGGCTGCTGCTACCAGTGGTCATTTTGAGAAGCATGCCAGGTTCAGAAGATATTCAAATGTGGAAGGACAATGACCTGAATAATAAACTTTTTCAAAATTGGGGCGATTGTCACCTGGTTCCAATACCAGAGGGAGCAAAACAGATAAATGTTCCATTCCGGAGGAGCTACAATGTAGGGGTGACGAGGACACAGACAAGTAAACATGGATACATGGGTATATGAGGAACAGCATGTAAATAAGCGGGGGGAGGAAAGGAGAGGAAGGAGGCAGAGGCATAAAAAAGAGAAGAGAGGAAGAAGAGAGAGAGGGAGAAGCAGAGCATAGAGGAGGAAGGAAAGAAGGGAAGGGGAGGATGAAGAGGAGGAGAAGGAATTTGCAGGGAGGAGACCATTGAGGTTTAGAAGGCGGGTGGAGGGTAAGGAAGACTTGGAACACAGGATGCTGTTCCCTAGGGGAAAGGAAGGTGGGAGCATCTGCCCCCAGAGGAAGGAATATTCTATTTCTGACACTGTTTAATATGGGGAGAGGGGTAATAAAAGGTAGACTGACTTCTCTTGGTTTTATTCTTATTTTTAAGTTCTCTCCAGACAATGCAATCTTCTTGCCTAAACCTGGGATTGTCAGCACCACTGCCCTGGGTGGGCCACTGACTGGGCCGTTCAGAGATGGGTGAGACTAAATCAGGTCAGGGGTCCACCAACATCAGTAGGAGGCAAGAGTCTGTGGGCCTCGGAACAGCTCCCCACCATGGTGCTGCCCTTTTATTCAGGATTTATGCACAGCAACTCATCAAATCCTACCCACCACCCTATGAACGAGGCTCTGCAGTCTGCCCCATATTACAGGAAACAGACATCGAGAGGCAAGTGATGTGCCCAAGGGTCCACAGCGTACAAGTGGCAAAGGTGAGGCTCCAACCAAGGCCATTGCCCCGGAGGAACCTGTGCTGTGTTCTCTGTTCTTCCAGCCTCACCCTGGCCTCCACTAGGTGACTGGGAGCCAGGCTTCTCATCCTGGTTGGCTCGGGCTGTTAAGGCAGGAAGGGTGTGCTTCTTCAGTGACACCAGCAGCTGTATTGAGGCAGAAGAGGGTCAGATCTGTGGCATTAAGGGCCTCATGGTCCCCGGCAGCTCCTCTGTCTCAGGACAGACATGGGTGGTTCCTGCTCTTGGAGACAGGGAAGGTACAGGATTCCTATTTCCAGAGATACAGAAGTTCCTTGCTCAAGGCAGCTGAGGTGGGGTTTCCTTTTCTTGCAGGCAGAAGCTGTCTAGCTAGGTCCCAGAGAGGGTCTGCAGCACCTGAGGTCCAGGGCTGCACAGCCTGGAATCTAGGAATGGCCAAGAAGTGGAGACCCAAGTGCCAGAGAGGCCTGGAAGCCAGGCTCTCCCGCCGGAAGGTGTGGTTAATCCTTAACAGAGGCCCTGGCAGAAGCAGGACGAGGACATGGGGGAGGAACCAACATGGCGGGGGTTCAGGGAGCACCACACCAAGAGGCCAGGGATGGGAAAGGCAGGGCACGCACGCTGATTAGCCATGTCTCCTTTTGCACTTCTCTCCAGCCCAGGTGTCGTCACCCTCATCAGGTGCCAAGCCTCATGCCTGACCATGCTGAGCAGGAGATGACTTTCATGAAGAGTCATCCACCTTCTCTGTTCCACACACTGCTGCCTGGGGGCCTCACCCCATCTGTCCAACTTTAGGAAGCAAGCCGAGGTGTCCTCTCCTCCAGGAAGCCTTCCCTGCCTCCCTCCCCCTCCAGTCCAGGTAGATGGCATCTCTGTACTTCCCCCAAGGTTCTCTCCAATCTGCCTCTCAGTACTTTTGGCTTCTTGAGGTGCTCGGCCATGGTTGAAGGAATAAGCCAAGAACATGGGGACCAGGACACGGTGCTGGGGCTGAGCTTCCAGGTCCTCCTGGTCTTACAGCTGTTTGCACTCATGTAACAAGCATTACAGAGCCTCTCCTAGAGCCATACCCTGCTCTTGGCACTAAAGATGCACCAGTAGACAAGACGCTAATTCCCAGTCTCTTAACTTAGGTTCTAGAAGCCAAGCAAGATATGCAAGGAAATACAAGAGAATTTCAGATCAAAGTAAGTATTTGGGAGAAAGCAAGAGTGCATTGACAGAGCCGGAGGTTGGAGCAGGGAGTTCCTCTAAATGAGGTAGTCAGGGAAGACACTCGAACCCAAACAGGCATCAGGACAAGAGGGAGGAGTCCAGGCCAAGACCTGAGGAAGGACTTCCCAGGCAGAAAGAACCAGCTGCAAGTGCAAAGGTCCTGAAGCAGGATCAAACTTGGTGTGGTAGAGGAACTGAAAGGAACTGGGAGGTGGAACTTGGGGAATAAGAAGAAATGGTGGTAGGAGGTGAAGACACAGAAGCAAAAGCCAGGCCAAGAAAGAGCCCTTAAGCCCAGATATTCCAAAGGCACAAGAAGCCTGTGGAGATTTTAAGATAGTTTTAATATGATCTGCCTGCTTTTTAAAGGAGCTCCTTTTTAAAGGAGTTAGGATTTGACTGTAGTGGGAGGCCCAGGCATGGCAAGCTCTGTTACACGCTACACAGGGCACAGAACAAAGTCAGAGGAAGGGCGAGGTTACAAGCTCTGCCTAGCAGACGAAAATCTGAGTTTGGATGGCATTCCTTGCCTTGAGGGTCAGGTCACAGTGACCAGGACGCAGAGCCAGGGACAGGTTCTTGCCTGACCTCTGGAATTCCAGGGGAAGGCCACTCTCCACCCTGCATCCGCCTCTTCCACATTCTTTCACATAAAACCTCACTTCTTAACAGTGGCCACAGCTTATGAACTCTCTTCCAGGTTGATGAGCCCATAGTCCAGGAGGTGAGCATGAAGACCCTCTCTGCACAAATGAGGACACTGAGCCTCTAAGAGGCCATAGCACCGCCTGCCATCACCTGGCACCTCAGAGGCAGAGCCACACCAGGACTCAGGCCCCATGACTCAAGCACCTACCTGCTCTGGCCTCTCTCTGAGGCTGGCCCCTTGTGCCAACAGAAGGACCTGTTCTTTAGGACATGAAGGATGTTGCCTGGCCATAGAGCAAAATAGGCAAAGCCAGCAGGACAGCTGGTCCAAAAGACTCATTCACAGATATGGAAATCAGAGGCTCAGAGAGGAAGGGTGACTTAGCCAGTGTCACCAGCCCAAGAGACCTGGGTCTCCTGCCCCAGAGTTCCAATGCTCCTTCCTCTAAAGCACAGCTACTCTGAAGATCAAGTTTGCTCGACCCCATAGGCCAGCTCCTGCTGCTATAACAAAACAGGGCAGACTGGTTAATTTACACCCAATATAAATGTATTGCTCACAGTTCTGGAGACTGGGAAATCCAAGATCAAGGCACCACCAGGTTCCATGTCTAGAGAGGGCTTGCTCTCTGCTTCTAAGATGGTGTCTTGAATGCTTGGTCCTCATGTGGTCCTCATGTGGAAGGCAGGGAAAAGGGGCCTATGGACTTCCCTCCAGCCCTTTTACGGGATCAGCAGCGCACTCACCTCTTCATATTAACACACTGTCAGTTGCTTCAACAGGTGGATTTGGGGGCTACATTCAGACCAAGCAGGCAGGAAACCACCACAGGTTGGCTTCTACCTGGACCTGGGCTGGGTCTTCCACACATCAATGGCTGGGAGCCATTGGCTGGTGTGAAAGCCCCTGGTCACAGCCGGCCCCTGAAGCAAGAAACAGCAGCCCCATCTAAGGAAAAAAAAAACATTCCTCCAGCACCCTCTGCTGGCCAGAACTAGCACTGCTAGTAAAGAATGGTTTGCAGGGTCCAGCTCCACTGTCAGGAAGCATGGATTCTGAGCTGAAAGACAATTGGCTGATAGCCAGCACACACACACACACACACACACACACACACACACACACACACACACATCAGAGGAAACAGATGGTTCCCTACATGACACAGTGCCCTCCAGCTCAGCCTCTCCTACCTCTTCAGGCCTGTCTCTTCCATACTCTTCATTACCCTGCCTGCTCTATGCCCCTCCTCACTCAGGCTGGAACCACTGCCTGGAACACCTTACCCCTCCTCCTGCTCAACCTCCATCTTATCTAAAGAACAAAAAGACCTCCTGTGTTCACTTCTGTACCCAGCCCTCCTCATATATCATCTCATTTTAATACTGGATAGTGATCCAGCTGAGAAGTACAAATAGCCCCATTTCACAAGCTAGGAAACTGAGGTTTGGAGGGGTGAGGTCACTCAGCAAACACAGGAGGCGCAGAATCCAAGCGCTGTCCCCATCAGTCCTCAAGGGCTCTGCTTCTTGCTTTTCAGGGCTGCCCTGTTGTGGCAGAGCTCAGTGCCTGCCTGGTTCTAGCCAAGGTCACCTGGCAGGGAGGGCCACACCTGGGTTCCACCCAAGTCTGTGGATCTAAAAAGTGCGGCTCGTGACCACTTTGCCTGAGAATGGATTCGTTCCCATGTGTGTCCTTGATCCCAGTGGAGAGCCACCTTCCTCAACTCCACCTTCCAGCTCCAGAGCCATCAGGCAGGCAGCTGGGGACCATCCACCAGGGATGGTAAGGCCCATTTTCAGCATTGCAATGTTTCTGAATTTTAAAAAAGACACAATTTGAATCATTTACAACTTAAGGCATTCCCAGACAGTTACAGGCTGAATAAAACCCTCAACATGAGCAAAGACATCTTCCTCCAGAAGCATTCTGACCACACACATGCACACAATCCTTGCATAAAACAGTCCCCAGGCATCTTGCTGTCATCTAAAGTCCATTTCTGAAGTATGAGAGTTCAAATGAGGTCTGGGTGAGCCAAAACCATGATCCACATCACAGCGTCCAGGAGCCAGGACAGGAGATGGCCAGCCAGGCCTGGGGAAGTCCACGCATGCATGGGCTAGGCAGGCAGATGCCCCTGGGGTTTATCTCCTGTCGGCCCTGTAAGGTAATCCACTGCGTGTAATTGGTGCATGAATTAGGAGATAGACTCCCTTTATGTGCCGTGGCCTCCACTGAAAACCTCACTCTATCCCTCTGCCTCACCCTGGTTCTTCTCCATCTGGTCAACCTGACATTTCTGAGGCTGGCAGAAAAGATACTTTGTTGCAACCCCTAAATTGAGGAGTGACAAATTCTCAGGCTTCTGTAAGTGGCAACAGTCACATCATCAGAAGGTCATCCTCTTCTTTCTTTCCTAAAAAACAAGTCTATTTCTAAAAATAAGAAACTAGAGGACCCAGTTGGTGGCCCATGGGACAAACAAGTAAGTTGGCTGGGTTTATCCTGGGCTGCCTCACTTCCTACAGGCCTGGCTTCTCACATTCAGCCACCTGGCTGCCTTCCAGACCACCCCCACCCCCATCTCTTCTCTCTGCCCTAGTGAGGAGGCCATGCAGGACACTGTAGACAGTCTGGGTTTGGGAGACCCCCACACCCAAATTCCAATCTAGACCTGAGTGCCTAGGCCACGTGACTTCACCTCAGTTTCTTCATCTGTAAGATAAACATAACAATACCCTTCCTGTGTGCTCAAATCTCCCCATGAGCCTGACCCAGGTTTGCCTCCCTCTACTTCCCCTCCACCCTCCACCTCCAGTCCCCACCCCCGCCGTGTCAAACTGTCATGAATGGTTTTCCATTATGTCAAAAAATGAATCCAGGCTACATCCTGGGCTCTTCACTCAAACAGCTGTGTGTTTACTTAGCTCTAGAGTAGTTCCTGACCAAACAATCACCACGGGCTGGCCAGCTCACTCAAATGACCCCACCCCATTTAGCACCAGCCTCCCCATGGCCCATGACATCATTGGGTCAGTCAAGGATTGTGAGACTTTAACATCCCAGTTTGCTGTGCACATGACATGCAGATTCGTGTCACTTGAAATCACACATTTCACAAAGGAGGCAGGATTTCTGAGCTCAATGAAAGTGACTTAGAGTATGGCTCAAATCATACACCAAGTCTTTGAATGAGTGATTAAACAAGCTGACTTCAGCTGGGGCCCCATGCTCCCCTTACAAGGCACACAACCACGAGCAACTTAATCATATAAACAGCCACACAGAGTGGAAGTAAAAATAAAGCCATTAACACCCATGGAGAGGCCAACATATGGTAAGTGCTCAAAAAAAAAATGTTACTTAATAGTAGCTTTGGAGAAGAGTTGGACCCCTTACCAATTACCAAAGAGAAGATAATGAATAAGTACCTCAAGAGAGAATAATTTGAATATCAAAGTTCTAAGAGAGCCCTTAGGAAAACTTATGAAGCCCTCAAGCATTATTATAAAAATGACCCTCTTTCTAGTTGGACTGTGAAAAATCTAGTACAAAGTGAAGGTTGTCCTGACATAGCATTTACCATCTTGTCAGAAAAATTCCACCAAAAAGAGAACAATGTGATTCAGTCTCCGTTCATTCTAAAAAAAAAGAAAAAAGGAAAAAGAAACATAGTGCACAGTTTTAATTGCAATAAAATAGTGTTAGTCAAAAGATGCATTGAACTTACTTTCATTATAGTGTTTAGTTTTCTGTTGCAGTGACAGGTTGGTCTGGCCCAACAGGATGACACATCAGGCTGACATTGGACAGATGGAACCAATACTCAAAGGGGTGATTTGCAGCTTGTGACATAAATATATAAATACTTGCGTGGCCAGAAATGTGGCCCAGGCTAAAAAAAACTCAAAGCAGTTTCTTCAAGTTTCTTTCTTTTAATGAATAAATATTTACTGTGATGACTAAATGTCTGTGACACTGTGCTAGATGCTTGGAATGCCAGAGTGAATAAATAGACCAAACATCCTGACCCTTTGGGCTTGCAGTTCAGTTGGTGGAGAAACAGGAGACAGGCATTCTAACTAAGTGAATGAGAGCACATGGGCACTGGTGGCTCATCCTGTAATCCCAGCAACTCAGGAGGCAGAGATCAGGAGGACTGCAGTT